TGCATAATGCAAAATAGAAACTTTAAGCTATGTTTATTGATTAATTACGTGTCTATAAAATAAAAATTGACTACAAAAATAAAAAGATAAGCGATTTATATATTTATTTTTATTACAAAATTATATTTATCGTAATTACATTAAGAAAATATTACATCATTAATGCATTATAATATAAAAAAGGAATTTATTTAGTATTTTATTTAATATTTTATTAGTATAGATTTAATTAATAAAATAAATAATAATATGTAAATGCCCAAAATCTATATTTATAAAATTTATATAAAAGATTTATATGAAAGATTTTTTTGTGTCCATCATCAATGAAATTTTATAAATTATTCTTATGTAAGATGAATCGCATTGATATTTCAAAGAATATGAAATTAGCACAATTTGCCCTTATTAATAACTTTATAATTTATACTAGACACTCTCTAATAAGTTACTGGCCATCGGAGAGCCACTTTTTATTGGTCCGCCATTTTTAGGCAACTCCCGCTCATATTCAAATTGTAATTATTATGATAATGAATATTGTATATATATATATATATATATATATACATATATATATATATATATATATAAAATATATATAATATTGTATATATATAATATTGAAAAATTATTTTCACATATATTATTTAGGAAAATTTTATTTTTATAGTAATTGTAGTTTTATAGTAATTTTTGTATTTTTTTTATTTTTATAGTAATATAAATATAGAAATGAAACTAATTTAAAAAATTTTTTTAAATAATATATGTCAAAATAATTTTTCATACTATTTTATATTTTTCATATTATTGACGAATTGTTACAAAGTTCTGCTGTACACCATACTAATAGACACATCTGCAGAAACATACATTCGCGTAGATGTAAGTAAAATTTTAGAGTCTTTGCATAGATCTATCTCTCTCGCAGGATTTTGCATAAACATAGACGAAACATATGTGTCTCAATGTGCTCACTCTATCTGATAACTAGTTTCTTATTAGAGCGCGTCTAATTTATACTATATAATATATATAATATTATATATTATATTATATATTATTATTATATTTATTATTATATCTATCTCTATTATTATGTCTTTATAATATATTATAATATAATATATTATATTGTATAACTTGTATATAATGTAATATTATATAATATTATATCTTTGTAATATATATTATATATATTTTGTAATATATATTATATATAATATGTACAAATAATGTACATTATTTGAGCTACATTATAATCTTTATGTGTATTTTAATTTTGATTAATTGTGATGTAATCTTTTTATCCAAGAACAAGAAGTAATTTTGGTAAATGTTTACTTTACGTTACACAGCACGAAAAAATTTCATTTTCAAATATGTTGTAGAGGATACATTTCTAAGTAATACACCGTTTAAATTTTGCAACGGTCTCTTTTCGTTTCTGCGATATGCACTTTCGAAGTTTTATACTTTTATGTCATTTCATTGTATTTATTTGTATACATTTGTTGGTCACGGTTTTATGTATTTGTATATAACTTCTTTCGTTTTGCAAAATACATATGTGAGTTCCGCTTTCCTTCGAGGGAGAACTTCTTCGGAAATATAACCTAACCCAATCCGTGTCTGAAGTGTGAAATATACCTGGAATAGAAAGTTACAAACTTATATAAATTCATGATATGAAGTAAAATATGTCATATGTCAAGATATTTCTCACACTTCAGACACATTGGGTTTGATTATATCTTCCGGAAGTGGAGTTTCTTCCATTGTACAGATGTCCACGCATGTACTTTATAAGACAAAGCAAAGCTTACAGATACATATATTCTATTGAAATATATTTCTTTTTAAACATACATGATATAAAATTATATTCTACTCACGAAACTTTTTTCGTCAATAACTATTTAATAAATAACAAACGGCTAAAAACTCTTTTAGTCAGAAAGATGACCTTAGTAAATATGAAAAATATAAACGTATTTAAAATATAACGAAAAGATAATAGAAAGTATAAAATTTCAAAATCGCATATCTCAGGAACGAAGAGAGACCGCCGCAAAATTCAGACGGTGTATTACTTAGAAATGGATCCTTTACAACATATGTGAAAATAAACATTTTTCGAGTGTATCCTAATGTAAACATTTATCACAATTTTGTCAATTAATTTACATGTTTTGTCAATTAAATTTACACGTATTTTTAATAAGTTTCTTAATATATCGTCAAAAATGAAAAATATCTTATAAAAGCGGTTTTTCTATATCTTTTTTTGTTTTTCTTCTAGCAATAGCATTATATTTTACAAATGTAGAATAATGAAATTTTCATTCGTCTTACTTTCTTAAATGTTATAATAATCGCAATATTGCTTACAAATGCACAAGAAAATTAAATTTTAATCTCTTAATTATTTTTAATAACATAGCGTTTATTTCCATTCATATTTGCCTCTGGCCCATTGACGAATAAATTGATATGTACTCTATATAGATAAAAAATAAAAAAATCAATTTATTTTTCGTTATATATATAGTATAATATACGCTGCTTTATATTTTTATTAAAATAATTTAGTATTTCTACAAATATTTAATTTAAATTAGAATAATGTTTGTTTAATAAATAAAATTGTTTTGCCATTGCATACAAAATATCTCAATTATCCTTAGTCTAAAGATTCTGTTTTAGTCTAGTTTTGGTATAAATTATTTTAGTAAAAGTATCAAATTAAGGTAAATATTTATCTTTAACCAGCCCAAATGACTTGACATATATTGCTAAGGTCACTACCCTGAGTAACATCTAAAAGGTGTCTCTCGTTGTTTATTAAAAAGTTATTAACAAAAGAATTTCCATGAATTATATGCAATATGCGACTATACGAGTTCCTAAGCATGTTGATTTCTAAGAAGGTCAAGGTTATTTTAACTTTCTATGAAAAGTGAAGTCTATTCTTCACCACTCCTGAGTCAGCGCGAAACGAGATCTATTATTGTACAATTCTACATGGGTTTTGCAACTTTCCTTATAAAGCGAGGAACCATAGATGTTGTTTCGTTCTGATTCAGGGATAGTGCAGGATGGACTTCGTTTCGCATGGAAAGTTAAAAATCTATGTGGAACCTAAAATTTGGTTTGGGGTATGCACCTTTGCATAGAAAGATTTTTTTATTGTTATTCTCAATTTTAATCGACATATATGCACAGTAAAAAATAAAATATTAATTATAACATTTTTCACATGTCCCAAAAGTTCACTCTAAATTTTAATATAACTTATTCGTCGTATGTTACAAACTAAATCGACAAATTAAAAATGTTAAATAATTGATAAAACAATACTTTACATTTATTTTTGTTATTATGACATTAAGTAATGCAAAAACAGCATACAAATTAATTAAAGTTACATGAAAACATAGTTACATTAACTCATAAGAAATGTTGGGGACATTAACATATAATAGAAATTATAAAAGGTCTATTATTGTATATGATGTCCAAAAATTCTGTGAACTTTATAAAATTCTTTTATTTATAACTTTTTAATAAACAACAAGCGACGCATAAAACCTTTTGAATGTTACTCAAGGTAGTGATCTTGGCAATATATGTCAAATTATTTTGGACTGACTGTGTAAATATTTATCTTAATTAATAATAATGGTGTTTCTAATACTATATAATAAAAATAATTATATTTTTCTCTTAATAACAGGTCTGCGAAATTAGAGCATTTGTCAGTTACAAAAAGTAGAGTAGGTGAATCTGATGGATTTTGTGTACTGAAAACGAATCTGACCGTAGAATTTCCCCATATGTTCAGGTTTTCGTGTCATGAATGGCACAAAAATCGCTATTTTGGTCCATTTTATGAATTTATTCTCAGTGAGAAAACCAAATGTTTTAAAATATTTCTGTCAATGGTATCGTATAATGTACTAACTTTCATCTTTCAAATTCGTTTTCGATTACCACCGGCACGATTTTTTTCGCTCAGATATACATATTATAAGATGGTCATAGGGATCCAATAAGCCATTCTAAATCAACTGTGGCCATCTCACTACTCTCTATCTCACTACGAATCAAAATTAAGATAAAAAAACATACATTTTTAAATACCTTGTCATCTTTTAAAATTAAAAGTGGCGCATTTAATATGGCGTATAGAACCACAGTAAAAAGGCATAAAATTTAGAAAAACTTATTAACTCAAATTGTGTAACAACTGTATTAGATGTTATTTTTTTAGAATACTTTTTATGCAACCGAACTTGACATATGTCAGTCTTTTCAAATTTGAAGATGATGGATCTAGTATATTGATGTCTCTGTAAATTTTTCTTTAAATTTTCTTAACTTCATACTTCTCAGCGAAAAAAAATGTGTAGCGGTAATCGGAAAGTGGATTTAAAAGGAGAAAATGAGTACTATACAATAGCAGAAATATTCCAAAAAATTTAGTTTCCCCACAATAAATTCATAAAATTGACCAAAATTGCGATTTTTGGGTCATTCAACTACAAATTATACAAAGTTTGACGTACAAGGAAATTCTGCGGTTAGATTCGTCTTCAGCGTCATAAAATTTAAATCAAATTCATCTACTCTGCTTTTGTAACTGAACCTTGTAACCTGTGTAATTTTAATTCTATTTTCATGTAAAAGTAAATGTTAAATTAGTGAAGAGAGAGAAATATGATTATTATTCGTGAAGTTTGTTTTAAAAGGAATTCTCTTAACTCATTTACAATTCGGATGTAATAATAAGATATAATTGACTTTAATTGTTTTTCAATCATTTTGTTTTGAGAAAAAAAATTAAGTCCAAAATTTGTCGGATAATTTATTGTTAAAATTAGATTTATTAACTTCAGTGTTCGTCCGTGCATATACTTTTAATAATTGAAAATCTCCGAATGTAAAATGTTAGAATAATTTATTAATCGAATGTAATCTTACCTCATAACTGTCAGTTATGTTATGTCTTGACGCAAAATAAACAAAACATATACGAATATGGCGACGATTTTCATAAAAATGGATAACGGATGAGTATTCCGGCCTTTTACCAACAAAATCAATAGACCACCAAGTATTAAATATATAACTAACATAACTATTATCATAAGAAAAGCGTCATGAACGTTCCGAAGCTACTGAAACAAATTGTTCCCATCTTTGTAATATTATTATATTTGTATCATAGAAATATATTTAATATTATTGTATAAAAAATTAATAACTTTTTAAATAAATTATTATAATTATTATAAGTAAAATCATCAAACATTAAAATTATAGAACACCGTACAAATTATTTTATCATTTTACTTTATAAAATATTCTTATTTATTTTGTAATTTATTTATTGAATTGTTATAATTACATCTAAATAATAAATAAATAAATAATAATAATAAATAATCATAAATTATCAATAAATAATCATAAATCATCAATAAATAAATAAATAAATAATCATAAATTATTCCGTTTCAGTTTTAAATTCTTTTGACTTTATCATCGAGCCGACCAATTTATTCACACTTAATTATTATAGGCAGTTTGCCCATCAAAATATGCCAAATATTTAAAACCTTTATTTAAAAATATGAAAAAAATTACAAACTGATCGTACATATAAATAATATAATATAAGTTCTGCTATTAAGCTTTATTATTGTGGCATATTCTTATATATTTTGACTTAATGATTTTATTGCTTTTTTAAATTTAATATCTCTTTATTATTCTGTGAAAACATGTTTCTTAAGTTGTAAAATCTATATATTAAAATAGAAAGCGTTTTTTATTTCTTTAAAACATTAGTTTGCTTTTTTCTATAAATTTTTGACGATTATTAGATCTTTTATGACCTCACATTTGATACTGTTTGGCGCTGTCTTCGTAATGGATATTTAGCGAAACAAGATGGGCAATAATTTATGTTTTGAGTATTTGCCATTTCCTCCATACAATGAACGTGTATAACTGTATTTGTTTGACGAACTTCTCTACACTCACATAGGCATAAGAGTTTTTTTTTTTCCGCATCTATCATAAACAGATTTATATACATAATACATTTTTTAAATAATAATGTTGAATTTATATAATATATATCCACAATTTTTTTAGTAAATCAATTATATAGATACATAGATATATAGATTAATTATATAGATAAATTATATAGATACTTTTGTGTGTGTTGTGTGTGTATGTGTGTATGTATGTGTGTATGTGTAACGCATAAAAAAGTTTATAATACAAAATACATAACGCTGATTTAAAAAATTTTTTTTCTGCAAGTATCTTTGTAAAGAAATTTATTAAACTCTGATTATTTCATAAAAATAAAACTGCGTACCTTCATGACAACGCCAACATGATGGCGAGACCTGAATTTCCTCCGGTCTTGGTACACTTTCCAAGGGAGCTATTTCAATAATTTCATCCATTTTCAATTGTATTATTAATTTATTGAGCAATATAAACACTGTTATGTAAGCTTTTGTTATAATAACGGATTAATATCTAAGAGATTTATTAATTTAATTCTCCACAATGTCACTGTATGGTTAATCTCTTGATACTACTAACTTTAATACTGTTCTGATGATTTATTTACATTTATTCTTCTGACAACAACTTGCTGAAAATATTTAGGATCTTGAGACTTTAAGATTTGAACGAAAGACAGCGAGAGCGGGAGAGAGAGAGAGTGAGAGAGAGGGGGGGGATGAAAAAAGAGAGAGAGAGTATTTATATTTTCAACTAATATATCATGCTTAATGCACAATTATAATACGTTCTATTCTATATAATAATTACAATTATCTGTGTGCAATATGTATATATTCTTAATTTGCATTTCTCGATTTGATCAAAAGTTTAATTTATCGATGAGCAATTGCAAAATGTTTTTTGGCTCATTTAGTAGACTTTGAATTATAAAATCGAATTGTGATCTAATGATAGCTTATGATGATATGTGGATTCGCTTGCCGAATTGGATAACTATTACAACTCTTCTTATTTCTAAAACCGTTCCTATGCTTAATTCAAACTTTCTCCAAAGAAATACATCATTATTAGATATTATTTTGATCACAATTTGATTCGATCCGTGAGGTCCATCAAAGGAGCGAAACTTGCTCTTTATATTTTCTTTATATTATAATCTACATCGTTCCGCTTCTACAATGATTTTTAGCGATATTGATGTTTCTTCAATAGGATAAATTTTTTCGAAAATCAAAAATATATAAGATGTTCGGGATGATTTCCTTGATGATTTCTTGAGACGATTCGAGCATATTGTGTACAACATTATGTGTATTATCTTTATAGAATAAAATTTTAAATAGAATAAAATAAATATTGAATGAAATATTCCTTATTAGCTTGAAATGCCTCTTATTAGGTTAAAACCATTGTGTCGCAATAGTAATCTTTTCGAAAAGCTACATGTTTGTGTTTAAATCTTTACAACTTTTCTTTCATACATATTGCTTTAGCTTTGAAAGAAACATTTTCATATTACAGTATCTTTCTATTAAATCATAAATTATTTTGAAATCTAATAATATTTGAAATAAATTTTTTGAATATCTCATAAATTTTTTGAATTAATAATATTTTGAAATAAATTTTTTTGAAAAATTTACAATTAAATTTTTTTGTTTTTTTATTTTATGTTATTTCAAATGTTCAATTTCAATGATTAATTTTTTAATGAATAAATTTTTGAATTTAAAGGTTAAGCAGACATAATTAGCTTATTATTAATTTAAACAGAAATCGTATATTAGAGGCGATATATAAAAATCAATAGCATTATTAATAAGATAGTATTAATATTCTTCATAATTGGACTGCTTAAAATTTAACTTCCATTTATAAACTGGGGAAAGGAAAATAATTTCACTAATATCGAGAGATATTCAAATCCCAATTTGTGTGTGATAATAATTGTAATACATAAAGTACTAAATATCCTGAGATATTACAAAAAAGATCTAATGTATAACTGTTTACATTAACAATGTTATTATACCAATAAAATTAAAATAATGCAAGTTCACATTTGCCTGTTCATTCATATGGTATTAACTACAAGTATTACAGATAATTATAATTATTATGCTAATATGTATAAAGCAAGTTATAATTTCCGATTATTAATTTATCAGCATTAACTCACATTGTCATCATTTCTTCAACACAGAGGCAATGTGAATTATAAACAGAAGAATCCGAGTTTAAGAAGCAAAAGTCAATAACATGTTTATGATTTAATCGTATCTAGACAAAAATATATTCAATACATGTTACAGTTACATTTAAAGCGAAAAAAAATTGTTATGAATTGTTAGAAATTGTTATGAATTGTTACAAATTGCTATCAATACGTCACTTCCGTGTAAATAATCGTTATTTACAATATTTCTACCCAAACGGAATACATTGTATTTATCGAAATTTAACTCCACATCTACAAGCTTATTGTTTATTTCAACTAAATTAATCGTCAAACTATTTCGAGATCAAGAATAAATTACGGCGCTATTCGTTATAATTTAAATATTAATTCACGTTTACATTCTGATAATACACTACAGGAAAGCGAGTCGGTTTTTTTGGAGTCATAATTGACAATCAGTCAGTTTTCTGGAGTCATAATTGACAATCTTAGACACATCGTTTTTGTAACAAATAATCTTGTTTGTGTCACCAAAAAATGTTCACGCGTATCTTTGTAATCGAGTCCTTACGCTGATTTTGTAATGATAATGCAACATAGGATTTAGGATATTCGTGATATAATGCCGTGACTTGACCGTGTTCGCTATATTTTTAATAACGTTGCGAGATGTCATTCTTCCAAACTTTGATGGTTATATAAATATTTTATTGTGGATTAGAATATTATATTGCAATTGAAAGGGGCTAATTTAAAGATAAACTAATCATTTTTCTCTTTTATATGTTATTATTCATAAACTGTAGAAAAAAAGAGAAGCTTATCGCTTATAGGAGATATACATATAATAGCTACTTGCCTACACATTAAACAATTTTTATTAAAAAAATTAAAAAATTAGTTTGTGTTATATTAGAAATCTTTGTTTGTGCTATATTAGAATCTTTATAAAATAAAGGAAGAGGAAAAAGATCTTTTTTTCTCTCTCTTGTACTTTGCAGAAACATATATGACTATAGGGATTTTTAAGTGCAAAGAGAAACTTGTATTTTATATTTTATATAATAAAATAATAAAATACAAGTTTCTCTTTGCACTTAAAAATCCTTATAGTTATATATCAAAAGCTATTTAAAGAATAGACAAGATTAGAGAGGAAATCTGTTAACGATAGTGTAGTCATATTAAAGGCAAAAATGAAGTGTTCCATTTAAAAAAAAATCTAAAAGAATAATATGTTTCAAAGTGGACTGAAATATTTAGAATTATATCCATTATAATATGTATTAAAAGTATCAAAGTAATTGATGGTATTATCTTTTCGCAAGTTTTAACAAGTATATATGCAATTATAAAATATGGAAAAAAGATAGCGTAATCAAAAAACTTTATATTTAAAATTAAACGCGTCGTTATTTCAATACAAAATCTTCTTAATAAGTATATACAAAAGTATATACAAAATTTTCTTAAAAAATTTAATAATCCTAAATTTTCATTGAAAATCTCTACGTAGACCAAGTTTTAAAAATAAGGTTTTCATTCCATACGTATTAGTTTTTGGTAGTCACTTGCTGCAAAAAGTTTGAAGGACAA